AGCAAGTGATGAAGGTCTGTGTAGATCTGTTATGATAGTTAAAGGATGAGACAAAAATAATATACACATAACCTTAAAATTTCTATGGTCATTGATAGGTAGAGAGTGGGCGGGAGCAAGCGGATGGATGAGGCACCGAGGCGCAGATGGAATTCTCAGCGGGATACAGATTTATTTCGCACGGGGCACCTTTCCCTCGGGGAAGAAAGATGTCAGCTCACAGGTTGTGAGCTGGGACTTTATATATGGGGGCTTTAGGGTGTGGAAGGGGGGAATGTTTGGGGGAGAAATCAGGGAGGGGGAGGCAGGAAAAGCAGGTAGAATTAGGGTCTGGAAGTGTTTACTTTTTCCCTCTTAAGATAAGAGGAAATCTGCTTGTCTTATCTTTGGAGGGCAGAGGAAAGGCAGGCTGGTTCTCAGCAGAGTTTGTTCTTCTTGACCTCAAAGGTCAAGGTGCTTATCAGCTAAGTTCCCTTTTTCCGGCTCCAAAGTCTGTAGGTCCCTGTTGGGGAGGGGGGAAGCTGCTGCTGTTTGAAACCCTAACAGTCATAGTTTAGTCAACTAGTTTAAGGAACAAAATAAATATCTAGTCAAGGTTTATCTGAGAATATTTGGTTTTTTACCCAAGCTTTATCTAAAAGTAGCAGACTGGTGGAACTAACCCTACTGGATGTTTAACAGCCATAGTTTGAGGCCTATACTAATGTGGTCAGAGGCACTTAAAGGACAGTTTTTGCCCCTTGCCCTCCGAGGTTGACTAAGTACCAGGGGTACTATGGAACATCTCTCAAAATGTCCTGTAACTGTGGTGAGTCACCTGCACTCTTGTTCAGGGAGGCCATGAAGACCCCATGAGATGGACTTGAACCAGTGTCCAGTCTACAAAGAGGAGGGTCAACTCAGAGGAAACATCTCATTCATGCTTCCAAATGAAGCCAGACATGGTCAAGCAGGACCTTTGACGTATCTTTACATAGATGGAGCTAGTAAAAGAAAGGAGCCAGGGGTGCCTCCCAAGCCCGTGTGACCCCTGAGGAACAGATCCTCAAATGACCTTA